GTAGGAGGGTTCCCCTTTCTCCACATCCTCGCCAGCATTTGTTGTTCTTAGTCTTTTCGATAGTGGCCATCCTTACTGGTGTGAGGTGATATCTCATTGTGGTTTTATTTGCATTTCCCTGGTGATTAGTGATCTGGAGCTTCTTTTCATGTGTCTGTTGGCCATCTGATTTGTTCTTTGGAGAACTGTCTCTTCATATCCTCTGCCCATTTGTTAATTGGGTTATTTGCTTTTTGGGTGTTTAGGTGTGTAAGTTCTTTACATATTTTGGATGTTAACCCCTTGTCGGATATGTCATTTACAAATATATTCTCCTATACGGTAGGATGCCTTTTTGTTTTGTTGATGATGTCCTTTGCCATACAAAAACTGTTTAGTTTGATGTAGTCCCATGAGTTCATTTTTGCTTTTGTTTCCCTTTCTCGAGGAGATGGGTTCAGGAAGAAGTTGCTCATGCTTATATTCAGATGTTTGCCTATGTTGTCTTCTAAGAGTTTTATGGTTTCATGACTTACATTCAAGCCTTTAATCCATTTCAAGTTTACTTTTGTGTGTGGGGTTAAACAATAATCCAGTTTCACTCTCTTGCCTGTAGCTGTCCAGTTTTGCCAACACCAGCTGTTGAAGAGGTTGTCATTTCCCCCATTGTATGTCCATGGCTCCTTTATCATATAGTAATTGACCATATATGGTTGGCTTTCTAGTCTGTTCCATTGGTCTATGGGTCTGTTCTTGTGCCAGCACTAAATTGTCTTGATTATTGTGGCTTTGTAGTAGAGCTTCAAGTTGGGGAGCATAATTCCCCCTGCTTTATTCTTCCTTCTCAGGATTGCTTTGGCTATTTGAGGTCTTTTGTGGTTCCATATGAATTTTAGGATGATTTTCTCTAGTTCGTTGAAAAATGCTGTTGGTATTTTGATAGGAATTGCATTGAATCTATAGATCGCTTTAGGCAGGATGGCCATTTTGACAATATTAATTCTTCCTATCCATGAGCATGGGATGTGTTTCCATGTATTGGTATCTTCTTTAATTTCTCTCATGAGTGTCTTGTAGTTTTCAGAGTATAGGTCTTTCACTTCCTTGGTTAGGTTTATTCCTAGGTATTTTATTCTTTTTGATGCAGTTGTGAACGGAATTGTTTTCCTGATTTTTCTCTCTGCTAGTTCATTGTTAGTGTATGGCAATGCCACAGATTTCTGCGTATTAATTTTGTATCCTGCAACTTTGCTGAATTCACATATTAGATCTAGCAGTTTTGGAGTGGATTCTTTAGGGTTTTTTATGTACAATATCATATCATCTGCAAACAGGGACAATTTAACTTCTTCCTTGCCAATCTGTATGCCTTTTATTTCTTTGTGTTGTCTGATTGGCATGGCTAGATCTCCAGTACTATGTTGAATAGAAGTGGGGAGAGTGGGCATCCCTGTCTTGTTCCCAATCTTAGAGGAAATGCTTTCAGCTTCTCACTGTTCAGTATGATGTAGGCTGTGGGTTTATCAGATGTGGCCTTTATTATGTTGAGGTACTTGCCCTCTATACCCATTTTGTTGAGAGTTTTTATCAGGAATGGATGTTTAATTTTGTCAAATGCTTTTTCAGCATCTATGGAGATGATTATATGGTTTTTGTCCTTTTTGTTTATGTGGTGGATGATATTGATGGATTTTGGAATGTTGTATCATCCTGCATCCCTGGCATAAATCCGACTTGATCATGGTGGATGATCTTTTTGATCTATTTCTGAATTCAGATTGCTAATATTTTGTTGAGTATTTTTGCATCTACATTCATCAGGGATATTGGTCTGTAATTTTCTTTTTTTTGTGGTGTCTTTGCCTGGTTTTGGTATTAAGCGTGATGCTAGCCTCGTAGAATGAGTTTGGAAGTATTCCCTCCTCTTCTATTTTTTTGGAAAACTCTAAGGAGAATGGGTATTAGGTCTTCACTAAATGTTTGATTAAATTCAGTGGTGCAGCCATCTGGTCCAGGGATTTTGTTCTTAGGTAGGTTTTTGATTACCAGTTCAATTTTGCTGCTGGTAATTGGTCTGTTCAGATTTTCTGTTTCTTCCTTGGTCAGTCTTGGAAGGTTGTATTTTTCTAGAAAGTTGTCCATTTCTTCTAGGTTATTCAGTCTGTTAGCATATAATTTTTCATAGTATTCTCTAATAATTCTTTGTATTTCAGTGGTGTCCATAGTGATTTTTCCTTTCTCATTTCTCTGATTCTGTTTATGTATGTAGACTCTCTTTTTTTCTTGATAAGTCTGGCTAGGGGTTTATCTATTTTGTTTGTTTTCTCAAAGAACCAGCTCTTGCTTTCATTGATTCTTTCTATTGTTTTATTCTTCTCAATTTTATTTATTTCTGCTCTAATCTTTATTATGTCCCTCCTTCTACTGACTTTGGACTTCATTTGTTGTTCTTTTTCTAGTTTCATTAATTATGAGTTTAGACTGTTTATATGGGATTGTTCTTTTTTCTTGAGGTAGGCCTGTATTGCAATATACTTTCCTCTTAGCACAGCCTTGGCTGTGTCCCACAGATTTTGTGCTGTTGAATTACTGTTGTCATTTGTCTCCATATATTGCTTGATCTCTGTTTTTATTTGGTCATTGATCCACTGGTTATTTAGGAGCATGTTTTGAAGGCTCCATGTGTTTGTGGGATTTTTCGTTTTCTTTGCGTAATTTATTTCTAGTTTCATACCTTTGTGATCTGAGAAACTGGTTGGTACAATTTCAATCTTTTTGAATTTACTGGGCCTCTTTTTGTGGCCTAGTATATGATCTATTCTTGAAAGTGTTCCGTGTGCACTTGAGAAGAATGTGTATTCTGTTGCTTTTGGGTGTAGAGTTCTGTAGATGTCTGTTAGGTCCGTCTGTTCTATTGTGTTGTTCAGTGCCTCTGTCTCCTTACTTTCTTCTGTCTGGTCGATCTGTCCTTCAGAGTGAGTGAAGTGTTGAAGTCTCCTAGAATGACTGCATTACATTCTATTTCCCCTTTTAATTCTATTAGTATGTGTTTCAAATATGTAGGTGCTCCTGTATTGGGTGCATAGATATTTATAATGGTTATATCTTCTTGTTGGATTGACCCCTTTATCATTATGTAATGTCCTTCTTTGTCTCTTGTGACTTTCTTTGTTTTGAAGTCTATTTTGTTTGATACAAGTACTGCAACTCCTGCTTTTTTCTCTGTTAGTTGCATGAAATATCTTTTTCCATCCTTTCACTTTTAGTCTGTGTATGTCTTTGGGTTTAAAGTGAGTCTCTTCTAGGCAGCATATAATGGGTCTTGTTTTTTTAGCCATTCAGTGACTCTATGTGATTGGTGTATTCAGTCCACTTACATTTAGGGTGATTATCGATAGGTATGTACTTACTGCCATCGCAGGCTTTAGATCTGTGGTTACCAATGGTTCAAGGTTAATTTCCTTACTATGTAAGAGTCTAACTTAACTCACTTAATATGCTGTTTCAAACACAATCTAAAGATTCTTTTCTTTTTCTCCTCCTTTTTCTTCCTCCTCCATTCCCAGTGTATCCCTTGATTGACTTTGGGGATAGTTAATTGAATTTTGCATTTGCTTAGTAATTAGCTGTTCTACTTTCTTTAGTGTGGTTTTATTACCTCTGGTGACAGTTATTAAACCTTAGGAACACTTCCATCTATAGCAGTCCCTCCAAAATAGACTGTAGAGATGGTTTGTGGGAGGTAAATTCTTTCAGCTTTTGCTTATCTGGAAGTTGTTTAATCCATCCTTCAAATTTAAATGATAATATTGCCGGATAAAGTAATCTTGGTTCCAGGCCCTTCTGCTTCATTGCATTAATGCATTAAATACATCATGCCACTCCATTCTGGCCTTTAAGGTTTCTGCTGAGAAGTCCGATGTTAGCCTGATTGGCTTTCCTTTGTATGTGATCTTATTTCTCTCTCTGGCTGCTTTTAATAGTCTGTCTTTATCCTTGATCTTTGCCAATTTTATTACTATATGTCTTGGTGTTGTCTTCCTTGGATCCCTTGTGTTGGGAGATCTATGGATCTCCATGGCCTAAGAGACTACCTCCTTCCCCAGATTGGGGAAGTTTTCAGCAACTACCTCCTCAAAGACACTTTCTATCCCTTTCTCTTTCTCTTCTTCTTCTGATATCTCTATAATGTGAATATTGTTCCATTTGGATTGGTCACACAGTTCTCTCAATATTCTTTCATTCTTAGAGATCCTTTTTTCTCTCTGTGCCTCAGCTTCTTTGTATTCCTCTTCTCTAGTTTCTAGTTCATTTATCATCTCCTCCACCATATCCAACCTTCTTTTAATATCCTCCATCGTGCTCTTCAATGATTGGATCTCCGACCTGAATTCATTCCTGAGTTCTTGGATATCTTTCCGTACCTCCATTAGCATGTTGATGATTTTTATTTTGCATTCCCTTTCAGGAAGAGTCATAAGGTCCATGTCATTTAAATCTTTCTCCAGAGTTTTATTAATTTTACTCTGGACCAGGTTCTTTTGGCGTTTCATATTTGTATATTGCGCCCTCTAGTGTCCAGAAGCTCTACTCTGGAGCTGCTCAGTCCCTGAAGCAATGTTGGGGTTGCAGGGGAGTGGTATTGGTGCCTGGTGGGAGGAAAGAGCTGTTTCCTGCTTCCTGACAAGTCAGCTTGTTTTTGTAAGTTTGGATGAAGATGTGTGCAGAGGGGAGTGGGGTAGTCTGGTTGGTTAGAGCCAATCATAGACTAATGCCAGAGAGGAGGTTGGTTGTGACCCTGTGAGCAGTGAGTTAGCATAGGTTTGGGTGCTTGTCATATACTTACATGATATCAGGCCTGATAATTTTGTCTTCTTCCACTAGATTGTAAGCTCCAAGAGGACAAGGTTTCTGTTCATTGAGTATCTTTGGCACTTAGAATTATGCCTAGCACATAGAAAGCAAAGATAAATATTTGTGTTTGAAGCATGATATGAATCCTTTTTCTTTGGGAACCCTAGAACTGCCTGATAAAGAGGGATGAGAATGGTTACTCTGCAGTGGTAGCTGACTTTGGCCTGGCTGAGAAGATCCCTGATGTCAGGTGGGTAGCCCTAGTAGGTACTGGGGTCACAGAAGGGGCTGAGGCAAAGGGAAAACTCTAGCTTTCTTACCAGAAGCCAGAACTTGGTCACAACTCCCTAAATTTCAGTCAGTGGTAGTCTGTGCCCATCCTTGGGAGAGAGGAATTCCCAGTGGTCATGTATCCCATTGCCCCAGCCAGTTGCCAGTTCATTTGCTATTTAATCTCACCCCACAGCACTGGGAGTGAAAAGCTGGCTGTGGTGGGTTCACCCTTCTGGATGGCTCCCGAGGTTCTCCGAGATGAGCCCTACAATGAGAAGGTAAGCCTGAGGGCCTCAAGGCCTGGTTCTCCTTAGAATCTTAGCAGAAAGTGAACTGGATCACCCTTTATATTGAGGGTGAGGATCTACATCCTTTCTCCCAATAGTAGAGCTGATCCCTGGCAGCTGCCCAGTGAATAAATTGAATGACCAAGTATGAGCAGTAGGGCCCAGGCCTGGGCTGGTGGATGTGAGGGCAGAAATCCCACTTCTTACCCCACTGAGGGAAACTGGGTCTTACTACCCACCAGGCGGATGTGTTCTCTTACGGTATCATCCTCTGTGAGATCATTGCCCGCATCCAGGCTGATCCGGACTATCTTCCTCGCACAGAGGTAAGCTGCAGGAATGCGTAACAGCACCACTGGGATGGAGCTTGTTTTGGGGCTATGAAACTATTCTATTTTTGGGGTGGATTGCTGAAACTTTTTGTTTGTGTGGCTACTTCTTAGGGGCATTCCCAGCCTCTCCTTTGGAGCAGGCAGGATGGGGAGAGGGATTAATGACCTATCGTGTTCCCTCCTTACCATATCCATTCACAGAACTTTGGGCTGGACTATGATGCCTTTCAACACATGGTGGGAGACTGTCCCCCACACTTTCTGCAGCTCACCTTCAACTGCTGTAATGTGAGTATCTTTTCCCCTGGCTTTGGTCAGGGGCTGACTGGGCTCTTTTCACATGGTGAAGATTGTAAGGAGAGGCTACTAATTAGCCTCATGAAGAGCATTTTTGCCCATGTCCCCTCCTCTGGGCTTGCCAGACTCTCCGGCACCCTAGACCCAGGAAAGGAAAATTGCTGTCTATTACTCAGTCCTCAGCCTGCAGGGTAGACCCACTACATCCATGCCTTGGATGTTCATGGAATTCTGGTCAGGTTTTAGTTGGACGTGGGTCTAGCTGGTCCTAAGGCCTATGTTAGCCTTCATTTTATACAGCTCTGGGGCTGGACCTACCTGCTATGACCAGAGAGTAGCTGGGCTTTGTACGGGTAGCTCCCAGAAACATGTTAGCAGAACTCAAAAAAGAACAGAACAAATCAATGTATATCCTTTTGGAAGGTTCTGTGCCAAACAATGGGATGAGACACACAGAAAGGGTGCTGAGAGAGGGGAGGATATTAGACTATAGCATCTTCCCTGACCTTAGCTCTGGCAATCGCCCTCATAGTCTGGGGCCTTCAGAAAAGATCTCCTAGCTTCACAACTGAATCAAAAGAGAGATGCCAGAAACAGACTCAAATGCTATCCTTGATGGGGAAGATAGGAGGGCAGGACTAATAGCTGTTGTGGATGACTACAGATGGATCCCAAACTACGCCCATCCTTTGTGGAGATCGGGAAGACCCTGGAGGAAATTCTAAGTCACCTACAGGAGGAAGAGCTGGAGAGGGACAGGAAGCTGCAGCCCACAACCAAGGGTAAGAGATTAGACCAGAGGGTCCAACCTGTCCCCAAGGGAGGGAATTAGGATGTGGGCCTCCACCACCAGGGCTCTGATCTCAGGATCCCTTATCTAGAAGGCAGACAGGCAGGAGATGCTGGAAAATGTACTGGACTCTAGGAGGTGTGACTTCCTACTGCCTCCTTTTGAGTCTGTTTTTTCTCATTGGCGAAATGGGAGCAACAGTACCTCCTTTGCTTTCCTGAGTGAAAACACTTTGTGGTACAAAGTATCGCTTCTATTTGTTATGGCCAAGTGGAAGTAATAACCCTAACTTTACTCATTATCCAGGACTCTTGGAGAAAGGACCTGGGGTGAAGCGACTGAGCTCACTGGATGACAAGATCCCTCCCAAGTCCCCATGCCCAAGACGTACTATCTGGCTGTCTCGAAGCCAGTCAGACATTTTCTCCTGTAAGCCTCCACGTACAGTGAATGTCTTGGACCCCTACTACAGGCCACAGCGAAGTGGTGCTGTGCGCACCCCCAAGATCAACCCTTTCAGTGCTCGCCAGGACCTTAAAGGTGGCAAGATCAAGTTCTTTGACCTGCCCAGCAAGTCTGTCATTTCCCTGGTATTTGACCTGGATGCACCAGGGCCTGGAACTATGCCCATGGCTGATTGGCAGGAGCCCCTGGCCCCACTTCCTCGCCGGTGGCGTTCTTTGCCTGGTTCACCAGAGTTCTTGCATCAAGAGGCCTGTCCGTTTGTGGGCCAAGAATCACTATCTGATGGGCCCCCACCACGCCTCAGTAGTCTCAAGTACAGAGTAAGAGAGATCCCACCATTCCGAACATCTGCCCTATCAGCTGCTCTAGCCCAGGAGGCCATGGACTGCTCCAGTTCCCAGGAAGAAAACGGTTTTGGGCCAAGGCCCCAGGGGTCCAGTCCATGCCTTGCAGGTGCCTCAGAGGAGATGGAGGTAGAAGAAGAAAGGCTGAGAGGCTTGGCTTCATTCCCCTTCTCTGTCTCAGGCACAGGCCTGAAAACCCAGGGAGAGCAGGATGGGTGAAGAGGTTAATCCCTACCTTATCTTGGGGATGGACCTTCAGCTGAAGCCACAGGGCCCCCCTGGTGCACAGCCTTGACTCTTTAGGGACCCACAGAGCAGGCAGACTAGGCCAAGCCAGGCTTAACTTTGGGGCTCCCAGTGCCAACTGGCTTTGTGTAAGAGGGGAGGCAGCATTGAGAGGCCTTCCTAGTTAGGGCCAACAGCTGATACCAAGCCTCTGAAATCTAGCAAGGAGCTCTGGCTCCCACCTGACCCCCCAGTGCACTTCCCGACAGGATCAGAGGACTCCTAATGCTACTTTGAGCTGGTAAGCAGCTAATACCCCAGGTGTATCTCTTGCCCTTCCCTGGGGCATATAAGCTACTGGATAGAACTTGGAGCTGACCAGGTAGCCATGGCTATTTCTCAGACCTGAAGACTGGGCGCTTCTTGCCAGTATGTCTAAGACACTTGAATAATTGCTGTTTGCACTTACTACACGGTCAGACCACGTCACTACATTTCTATGCAAGGGGAGGGCAAGGCTGTGTGGTGGTCAAGGCTCTTATCTAACCTATTCAGAGATCTTTAGCAGTTGATTAATCTATTTTCGTATTTATGAAGGAGTCTTAGTGTTCTGCCCTATAAGACTTTCAACCTTGTGGTTGGGAGTGGGGCTGGTTTTGTAGCCCCTAGGGCCTGCTCTATGTATTGGTCAACACACGATTGGTTAAATGGTTTATACATGCACTGATTTTCTTCCCTTCCTGCTATGGCTGGAGCTATGGGAACTGTCTGTCCTTACAGAGTCGCAATAAGAAATAACCAAAGATGAGGCTTGTCAAGTATTTTCATAACTTGTTTCTGTTGATTTTTTTGGTACAACTTTCCCAAGACACTTTCAGATTTAAAAATAAATAAAGTTGGTGTTACAGGTGCTGGTCAGCCTTCTTACTTGTACCCTTATTTCTTGGTCTCTGGGGTAAAGGAGAAGGTCAAGGAGTGATACAGCTGTACATCTGCCAGGACATCCTCCCCATCATCCCCAACTCTGTAGAAGTCGGCAGTAGGATATTCACAGGCTAGAGGGACCCAGACCCCTCTGTTCCACCCTCAGCTTCTCTTCCTGGGTCCAAGTGCTAGGTAGAAGTTGGGTCAGCTGCTGCCCCAAGCCAGCTTCATCTTCTGGTTGTGGGCTTTGGAGGAACGGGAGAACTGGCTCTTGGCCACTGTGAGGGGTACAGCTTTGCCACTTAGGTATACCTTGTTGTGGCAGTCAGGCAGCCAGGGTCCAGAGCCACAGGGCTGGGTTCCTTGATTCACTCCCACATAGGCCATCACATAACCTGTCATAAAGGCATCAAAACCAGCCCGATGCAACCCATCCCCAGGCACTGGGTTAGGACTGGCTTGCTTCTCTGGTGCTTCTGAGGAAGCCATGTCAGCTGTTTCAGGCCTTGTTGCTTTAAGCCCCACCTCCAAGTCGTTTTTATGACCTTGTTGAAAACCAGGCTGGTTCCTAATCTCACCCTTAGCCACCTCCTGTTCAATTTCCTCAGGCTTGAAGCCATCCCCACAGACCTGCTTGGTGGGAGGACTATCTTCAGCTTCCCCAGAGGTCTGTTTCTGAGGCAGGCCCAGCAAAGCCCTCCGCCGTTTTTCCCTACGTCGTCGCCGTCGCCGCTTGTCCTCCACCACAGCCTCATCAGTGTCAATGATAAGGTCAATGTCATGGGACCGAGGACACTGTGGTCCCAGGGGGCACCAGCCATAGGCCTAGAGGTAGGAAAGAGGCTTAGAGAAGGGTTCCAGGCACCAGAATTTGCCCTTCCCCAAGAAGTGGGCAGGTGCTCTCACCGAGAAGTTGTCACAGACACTGGAGGAATGAGGACGGTGGGTTGTAGGGGGTGTGCAGCAGCGGTAGTCAATATGGGCCCTCATGCTGAAAGGGTAGCTGCAGAACTCCAGGGTCACATGTGGGTTGCCAGCTGCCCGCTGCTTCACATTTTCCCGCTCACTGCAACAGTGCAAGAGGTACTGGTCTACTAGCTTATAGGCTCCTTAAGAACAGGGTTTTCTGTTTTGTTTTGTTCACTGCTGAATCTTCACCACCTAAAAGAGCACCTAGCACATGGTAAGCGCTCAATAAATATCTCAAGTAAATGAAATAGGCTTATACCAGGCTCCACCCCTTTACCTCAACCAGTCCCTCACCATTTCCGGAAGGCATATTCCAGGTAGGACGCCATGAAGTGGGCATGAAACTCAGCAGCGTATTTGGTGTCATAAATGCCAGCTGGGAACATTTCACACAGGTCAGCAGTGAAGGTTCCCAAGTTCTCAGGCAGATGCGCATAGAAGTTCTGGTACAAGAACACCAAATCTATAAGACCATTATGTAGTACCAGGGGCCGGCGGGCCCGGATTAGCTCCAGGAACAGTGTCCTCACTGACTGACTCTGGCTCTCATATCTAGAAGGCAGACAGGCAGGAGATGCTGGAAAATGTACTGGACTCTAGGAGGTGTGACTTCCTACTGCCTCCTTTTGAGTCTGTTTTTTCTCATTGGCGAAATGGGAGCAACAGTACCTCCTTTGCTTTCCTGAGTGAAAACACTTTGTGGTACAAAGTATCGCTTCTATTTGTTATGGCCAAGTGGAAGTAATAACCCTAACTTTACTCATTATCCAGGACTCTTGGAGAAAGGACCTGGGGTGAAGCGACTGAGCTCACTGGATGACAAGATCCCTCCCAAGTCCCCAAGCCCAAGACGTACTATCTGGCTGTCTCGAAGCCAGTCAGACATTTTCTCCTGTAAGCCTCCACGTACAGTGAATGTCTTGGACCCCTACTACAGGCCACAGCGAAGTGGTGCTGTGCGCACCCCCAAGATCAACCCTTTCAGTGCTCGCCAGGACCTTAAAGGTGGCAAGATCAAGTTCTTTGACCTGCCCAGCAAGTCTGTCATTTCCCTGGTATTTGACCTGGATGCACCAGGGCCTGGAACTATGCCCATGGCTGATTGGCAGGAGCCCCTGGCCCCACTTCCTCGCCGGTGGCGTTCTTTGCCTGGTTCACCAGAGTTCTTGCATCAAGAGGCCTGTCCGTTTGTGGGCCAAGAATCACTATCTGATGGGCCCCCACCACGCCTCAGTAGTCTCAAGTACAGAGTAAGAGAGATCCCACCATTCCGAACATCTGCCCTATCAGCTGCTCTAGCCCAGGAGGCCATGGACTGCTCCAGTTCCCAGGAAGAAAACGGTTTTGGGCCAAGGCCCCAGGGGTCCAGTCCATGCCTTGCAGGTGCCTCAGAGGAGATGGAGGTAGAAGAAGAAAGGCTGAGAGGCTTGGCTTCATTCCCCTTCTCTGTCTCAGGCACAGGCCTGAAAACCCAGGGAGAGCAGGATGGGTGAAGAGGTTAATCCCTACCTTATCTTGGGGATGGACCTTCAGCTGAAGCCACAGGGCCCCCCTGGTGCACAGCCTTGACTCTTTAGGGACCCACAGAGCAGGCAGACTAGGCCAAGCCAGGCTTAACTTTGGGGCTCCCAGTGCCAAGTGGCTTTGTGTAAGAGGGGAGGCAGCATTGAGAGGCCTTCCTAGTTAGGGCCAACAGCTGATACCAAGCCTCTGAAATCTAGCAAGGAGCTCTGGCTCCCACCTGACCCCCCAGTGCACTTCCCGACAGGACCAGAGGACTCCTAATGCTACTTTGAGCTGGTAAGCAGCTAATACCCCAGGTGTATCTCTTGCCCTTCCCTGGGGCATATAAGCTACTGGATAGAACTTGGAGCTGACCAGGTAGCCATGGCTATTTCTCAGACCTGAAGACTGGGCGCTTCTTGCCAGTATGTCTAAGACACTTGAATAATTGCTGTTTGCACTTACTACACGGTCAGACCACGTCACTACATTTCTATGCAAGGGGAGGGCAAGGCTGTGTGGTGGTCAAGGCTCTTATCTAACCTATTCAGAGATCTTTAGCAGTTGATTAATCTATTTTCGTATTTATGAAGGAGTCTTAGTGTTCTGCCCTATAAGACTTTCAACCTTGTGGTTGGGAGTGGGGCTGGTTTTGTAGCCCCTAGGGCCTGCTCTATGTATTGGTCAACACACGATTGGTTAAATGGTTTATACATGCACTGATTTTCTTCCCTTCCTGCTATGGCTGGAGCTATGGGAACTGTCTGTCCTTACAGAGTCGCAATAAGAAATAACCAAAGATGAGGCTTGTCAAGTATTTTCATAACTTGTTTCTGTTGATTTTTTTGGTACAACTTTCCCAAGACACTTTCAGATTTAAAAATAAATAAAGTTGGTGTTACAGGTGCTGGTCAGCCTTCTTACTTGTACCCTTATTTCTTGGTCTCTGGGGTAAAGGAGAAGGTCAAGGAGTGATACAGCTGTACATCTGCCAGGACATCCTCCCCATCATCCCCAACTCTGTAGAAGTCGGCAGTAGGATATTCACAGGCTAGAGGGACCCAGACCCCTCTGTTCTACCCTCAGCTTCTCTTCCTGGGTCCAAGTGCTAGGTAGAAGTTGGGTCAGCTGCTGCCCCAAGCCAGCTTCATCTTCTGGTTGTGGGCTTTGGAGGAACGGGAGAACTGGCTCTTGGCCACTGTGAGGGGTACAGCTTTGCCACTTAGGTATACCTTGTTGTGGCAGTCAGGCAGCCAGGGTCCAGAGCCACAGGGCTGGGTTCCTTGATTCACTCCCACATAGGCCATCACATAACCTGTCATAAAGGCATCAAAACCAGCCCGATGCAACCCATCCCCAGGCACTGGGTTAGGACTGGCTTGCTTCTCTGGTGCTTCTGAGGAAGCCATGTCAGCTGTTTCAGGCCTTGTTGCTTTAAGCCCCACCTCCAAGTCGTTTTTATGACCTTGTTGAAAACCAGGCTGGTTCCTAATCTCATCCTTAGCCACCTCCTGTTCAATTTCCTCAGGCTTGAGGCCATCCCCACAGACCTGCTTGGTGGGAGGACTATCTTCAGCTTCCCCAGAGGTCTGTTTCTGAGGCAGGCCCAGCAAAGCCCTCCGCCGTTTTTCCCTACGTCGTCGCCGTCGCCGCTTGTCCTCCACCACAGCCTCATCAGTGTCAATGATAAGGTCAATGTCATGGGACCGAGGACACTGTGGTCCCAGGGGGCACCAGCCATAGGCCTAGAGGTAGGAAAGAGGCTTAGAGAAGGGTTCCAGGCACCAGAATTTGCCCTTCCCCAAGAAGTGGGCAGGTGCTCTCACCGAGAAGTTGTCACAGACACTGGAGGAATGAGGACGGTGGGTTGTAGGGGGTGTGCAGCAGCGGTAGTCAATATGGGCCCTCATGCTGAAAGGGTAGCTGCAGAACTCCAGGGTCACATGTGGGTTGCCAGCTGCCCGCTGCTTCACATTTTCCCGCTCACTGCAACAGTGCAAGAGGTACTGGTCTACTAGCTTATAGGCTCCTTAAGAACAGGGTTTTCTGTTTTGTTTTGTTCACTGCTGAATCTTCACCACCTAAAAGAGCACCTAGCACATGGTAAGCGCTCAATAAATATCTCAAGTAAATGAAATAGGCTTATACCAGGCTCCACCCCTTTACCTCAACCAGTCCCTCACCATTTCCGGAAGGCATATTCCAGGTAGGACGCCATGAAGCGGGCATGAAACTCAGCAGCGTATTTGGTGTCATAAATGCCAGCTGGGAACATTTCACACAGGTCAGCAGTGAAGGTTCCCAAGTTCTCAGGCAGATGCGCATAGAAGTTCTGGTACAAGAACACCAAATCTATAAGACCATTATGTAGTACCAGGGGCCGGCGGGCCCGGATTAGCTCCAGGAACAGTGTCCTCACTGACTGACTCTGGCTCTCATCACCCTGGGTGGAAAGAAAGGGGTGACTGGGAAGGACAGTCCCAGAGGAAGTCCCTTTTGCAGGACACTTATCCCAGGCTCCCCTACCTGGAAATTCTTCGGCCCTCCTTACCCCAGTGCTATTCATCCTTGTATCACGCCTATTTCCCCAGCTCTATCACTAGCGATTCCCCACATTCCCTAAGAAGCAAATCCTCCCTGTGCACCCAGCCTAGGGTAGGAAGAAGTGAAGTGACAGAAGGGGAAGTCTCAAGGCTGGAGACCTACCTTGTCATTTCCCTTGTGGTAGGGGATGCCCTGGGCGTACTGCCGGTTGAAGTTGAAGCCATGCTGTACTAGGAACTGCACAGACTTAGGTTCTATGACATATTCCTCCATGCACAGCAGGGTCAGATTGAACACCTGGGCCAGGTATGAGTGTTCACCCTGGGAAAGAAAGGGTTGGCTACATCAATACTTGGGAGAAAAAAACTTCACACTTCATGTTCCGCAGGATCTCAACCCTCTTCCCCCCAGCCACAGACCTGGGATGGGGTTGAGATCAGCCCATACCTTGTGTGACTGCTGCTTGAAGCAGGCGAGGCCCAGGGAGAGTATAGAACGGGTCCTGGCGGCATGACACACGGCCTTGTAACGTTCCTCGATGCACCTTGGGATTGGGTGTGGGGGTGGGGGTGGCTGTGGCTGGGTGTTAGCTTTATGAAGGACCCAAACTACCCAGGACTGTGACCTCTGCTCCAGGGTTGAGGTCTGCCCCTCCTGCCAAGGCTAGGACTAACAAGATGAGGGCTTTTACTTACTGGTTCAGCAAACTCTTCCTGTCCCCAAGCCCACTCAGTTCCTATGCGTGGGTAAAGGGAGAGAGAGTTATGTCAGGTCCCCAGCACCAGCCTTTTCACAACAACCTGCCCTCCCCATTCCCTAACCCTCACCGTGTCCACAGCCACGAAGCTAGCTGTCTTTATGGCCAGCAGGAGGGATGGCCACATCTCCTTGAAGTTGTCACTTTGCACATCCACCACGGGAACCTGGACTACTAGCTCCTCCCCAGGTTTTGTGCTTTTTCTGACGCCACCTGGGGGTAAGGAGGGCAATGCATAGTAATGCTCAGGCAAGGACTAGGGAAACATGCAAAACTAAACCACAGCTGCCAGCAGGGAGATGGGGAGCAGTTTTCATTAAGGCAAAAAATGGCAGCTTTCTCCTCCAGCCTTTTATCACACATGCTCTGTGCACAGTTGGGAGTGATCAGTGCCTGAATTTGGGGAGACAAAAAGTCTGGGTCTTCCACTGACTTAAGTGAGACTTTGGGAAAATTACTTCTCCTTCAGCATCACAATGCATGGAAGACGAAGGTTAGCCTGGATCTGTGAGGTTCCTACTTCCTACAGGAAATATTTTGCAGGGCTTGAGTTCAGCTCCTTTGATATCCCACAAGGCCCTCTACCACTGTTCCCATGGTGCACAGGCGGCAACAGCCATCATGCTCCAGAGCCTGATAAATAATGTAGCACACCAGAGCGCTCCAATACTTCCCACTTCCTTTGGATCACAACTCCCAAACAGCTTCACAGAACAGAGCCCAGGAGCTCCAGACTACACCTCCCTTAATGCCCCCACCTGTCCTGGCTACGCTCCCAGTACTCAGGCTCTTGCAGCCCGTGCGGCGGTGCACCACGGGACTTGGAGTCTCCTCGTGGCTGGTTCCAAAGGAAGGAGCTACTCCTCTGAAACTTGAAGTCAGTTTCTAGAATTAGGAACCCAAGGCCTCCCCCTCCCCCGGAGCACACAGACTCTTAGGGTGGCCCCTGGGGAGCCACTCACCGTCAGAGACCGCTGGAGCTGAGGCCGCGCCATTGTCACCGTCGGCGGCCATGACACCACACGTCCCTCGCCTGAGTAGCAGTGCGTACGCCTGGACTTCCGCTTCGTCTCTCCGCGCGACTCCTGCAGTCAGGAATGGGGCGGAGCCTCGTCCCGTGAGTCACCGACGGGTCAGACTTCCGTTTGGACCTCCCGGGATTGGCGGGAGGTGCGCTTCTTGCGCGTCGGTTGCCGGGCCCTGGAGATCGCGCGGAAGGTAATGCCTTCTTCGCGTACACCGGGAGGGCTTGGGCCGCTGTTTTGCGCCGTTATCGTCCACACGGCCCTGGGGTGGGGGACCCCCCAAGGGAGCGGCACTACCTGAGTAAAGCTTACAGCATGCATAGGAGTTAAGCAAAGGCAGGAATGTGCAGGGCGAGAAGGCTAATCTGGGAGTGAGCAAGTTCCCGGGAAGGATGGAGAGGTGGCTTTCAGGAAGTAAAAGCGGAGAAGGGGACGCGAGACGAGTCGGCCGAGGGTTAGACTGACCGACTACTAGCAGGGAAGCTTTTGAAACGTGCAAGCAAGTGGTAATAAATACTTGAATTAAGGCTTCAGCAGTAGGAACAGGGAGGAAGGGTCAGACTGTAAGCAATTAGGAGGTGTAGCTGATCTAGAAGGTGATTGGACCTGACTCCTGATCCCGTGAGAGGGATGTCCTTACCGGAGACCTGTCCCATCTTCTTGGCCCACCGAGCCCTCTCAGCCCTTTCTTCTTGGTTATTGTTTCTAGTTCTTCACCCTTTCTCTCGTTATTGAGTCCTTCTCATTATTATTCAGAATTATTTGGATTTTTTTCTCATTACCATCCCTCATCCCATTAAATAATTTAACAAGTATTTATTGTGTTCAGTTTACCTGGCACCGAGCTCAGGTCTGGGGACACAACAGTCAACAAGAGACCCAGAACTTGCTCTCATGGAGTTTACAGTCAACTGGGGAAGTGGACACTGATCAAAAAACCACAAATAAATGTGACATTACAATTGGCAGAGCAATAATGGAAAAGTACATGAGGGTAGGGTGGGGGTGGAGGCTTGATTTAGACATTTAAGACCTGAATAATTAGTAGATGTGGGTAAAGCATAGAAGAGCTGTCCAAGCAGAGGAAATGGATTGGGTAAGGCCTCAGGGTGGCCAGACACTTGGGAGACTGAAGCAACTATTTGAGGCAAACATGGCTGGGCCTAGTGAGCAAAGGGATGAGGCAGATGAGGGCCTGGAGGAGTCTACAGTGCTGTGTTTAGAGGATTGGCTTCTACTCTGAGAGCAATGGGTGTGACGCCAAAGTCCTCCAGCGGCCAACAAGAGGACTTTGTGTTCCTATTCCATTTTTTACCTCTGGCCTTATCTACTACTCACTCCTTCCTCATTCCATTCAAACCACACTGGCTTTCTTAATTGTTCTACAAACACACCAGGCACCCTCTGTATGTAGGGCCTTTGCATTAGCTCCTTCTCATGATAGCTTTCCCACAGATGGCTAACTCCTTCAACTGCTTTAAGTCATTGGTCAAATATCACTTTAATAAGGCCCACCTTAACCGTGTTCTTGAAAATTGCAATGTTCTACAACCCTCATTCATCCCCTTCACAGGCTCTACTTTTCCTCTTTATGCTAGTATTTATCACCTAACATCCTATATAATTTACTTAGCATGTGTGTTGTTTCTTGACTGCCCCCATTAGAATACAAGCCCCCTGAGGGCAGGAAACTTTGATGTTTTATTTAGTGAAGTATTCCAAGTACCTAAACCGCTTGACACATACAGAGCACTCCATAAATACTTGTTCAGCGAATTAATGGGGAGCCATTGAAGGTTTTAAGTAGGAAAGTGACACGATCATATCTTAAAAAACATTGCTTTACTCTTTGGAGAATGGATTGTAGAATGAATTATGGAAGTGAGTTTGGTAAAGGAAGTTCGGCTATGAAGGGGAGGAGAGTGGGTTTTGTGGAAGGGATTGGAGAAGCGGGACCCTGAGCTTAGACAATACAGGAGGAGGCACCCTTCCTTCATATAATGGGAAGGAGGAGGAGAATGTAGATAATGCAGATAGTGCAGTAAGTTTGTACATTAATTTTTTTCTCTGAAGGAGGAAGCAAGTTCTTTTGATGTAAAGGAAGAGATGAAGTCAAAAGTTTGAGGAAAGAATTTGAACCCGAGGCTCAGCAGGGACCACAGCATAACAGAGCACAAGAGTGCAGGCTCTGGAGGCAGGCCTTTTGTGTATGAGTGAACAAGATGCTTAATTCTGCAAGCTTCAGTTTCCTTATTAATACTACAACATACCTCATGGAGTCATCAGGAGATTGAGGGAGAAATGTGGAAAATAACTTAGCATAGGGTCTGGCATATGGTAGGCACTCACTCACTGTTAGCTGCTCTTAGCTGATAGAGAAAAGGCAGCCAGAACAACAGTAAGGGAGCAGTGAGGACCAACCACATGCCTTTTCTCATTAGTAAAGGCCAGCAGCTGTGATTTCCCAGATCAGGAAAAGATTAGGAATAAAAATAGCTCATCTCTCGTCCCCCTGTGACTTGCCCTCTGCTCTCAGGCAAATCTTTTCCCCTCTCTGATCCTTGGTTCTCCTTTCTATGAGGATGAAGGTAGGGATAGATGACTGTTAAAGGCTGAATCAATATAAAAATGCTTTGTCTTCAAGCAGATAAGTCTCCTACCATGCCCATGCTCCTAGATACACCTAAGACTCTTGTCCTCATACACAGTCCCAGTAACCATTAGGGATAGATACACAGGCGCTCCCATACAGGAGGCTTTGGGCCTTGACCTAGCCCAGCTTTGTCCTCTTATTTTGTGTATGTCTCTATGACTATACTAGTGCTGCTCCCTCTCAGGCCACTGGGAGAAGCTCAGCTTTACTAGTCGTGTCTCAGTGCCATAGCTGGCCAGGAACAAACCCCTGAGCATCTGGAGAGTGCTAGATAGTCTGTGTGACTGGTTAGGGAGAAAAGTGGCAAAACCCCTTCAGGGCTGCAAGATTCAGCCTCTTTGTGATTGACTGTTTTGGCTGGGCCTTTCTATTCTAGGCCATCATGAAGAAGTCACGAGCAGCTATGAGAAGTTGTTGCAGGAAGCAGGCATCCAGCAAGGAGGGAAGAAAGAAGCATGCACCCAGCAGCAGCCAGGCCAAGCCTTCTGCCCCTGATGGTAAGGAGCTTGGTCCTAGTCAAAGATTCAGGGGCTGGCTTCACTGGCCACAAAGGGAGGAGATTCAGGCTGGGAAGGGAGCCTCGTATGTATTAAGGCATTAAGGGACTAAGATTCAAATTCTGATTTTGCTGTAAGACTTTGTGATAATTGCTCTGAGTGGCTGCTTTGTTACCAGCAACATGGAACAGTCGTCTGTGTGCTACCCTCACATGGTTTTCATGGGGCCAAATGAGTTTGTCGGCCTGAATGTGTTTTGTAAACAGGAAAGGCCTGAACAGGTATACATCATGCTTGGCTGAAACTGTTGGGTTTTCATTATGGCCTACAGCCAGTAGAGCTGACAGTACCACCCTGGGGAATTAAGGACAGAAACTTGACTAAGGCTCCATACAGCTAAAGAACTCTGGTCTTACTCCAGGTCCATTGCTTAAGGGGCTGGTGGTGGGGAGAACCCTAAGTGGGAGCAATGAGGCTGCAGTGCCCTGGGTCCCTGGTGCACACAGTCTATATAGGGATGATCCCTGAGTTTCCTGAGGCCCCTGCAGGCCTGGCTGGACGACTGGAGGAGGTGGTACTGCAGGCCTCTGTCTCCCCGTACCACCTATTCAGAGACACAGCTGAGGTCACAGTCTTCCGAGAGAGCCTGCTGAGTTGGTACAACCGAGAGAAGCGGGACCTACCCTGGAGAAGGCAGGTAGGCAGGCGAGGATTGGGGATGGTGGGTGGGGGGCTGATGCCCAGACCCCTTCACACTAACTCCCCATGTGGAATTGCATTGGCAGGCAGAAGGTGAGGTGGACCTGGACAGGCGGGCGTATGCTGGTGAGTACATCTCCTGAGAGCAGGGCTGCTTTGCCTGGACACCCTCAGGTCTAGGGGCTGTGGGTTGGGAACAGCATAGGTCAGCAGTGCCCTCATGCCAACACCTCTCCCCCAGTGTGGGTCTCAGAGGTTATGCTGCAGCAGACCCAGGTTGCCACGGTGATCGACTATTATACCCGATGGATGCAGGTGATTTCAGGAAAGGGGAGTGTCAGGAGCCGACCCCAGATGAGAGCCTATCCTTTGGGATGGAGGTAAATAAGACTTTGTCCACCTCCCTCACCCTTGACCTCTTCTTCTTCCTATCTGCCTTCGGGCTATAGAAGTGGCCAACGCTGCAGGACTTAGCCAGTGCTTCCCTGGAGGTGAGAGTTACCCTAGGGTGTAGAGGGAATGGGGACAAGTAAGGGCTGACAGCTGATCTCTCTGCCTTCTAACCCCACCCCCAGGAGGTGAACCAGCTCTGGGCTGGCTTGGGCTACTACTCTCGAGGCCGGCGGCTACAGGAGGGAGCCCGGAAGGTAAGGGGGTTTCAGGGAAGATGGGGACCCCCAGGGTCTTGAGTGTCTCATAACCTTGAGCCATCCCACTCCAATCAGGTGGTAGAGGAGCTAGGGGGCCACATGCCATGTACAGCAGACACTTTGCAGAGGCTTCTGCCTGGTGTGGGTCGGTACACAGCTGGAGCCATTGCTTCCATTGCCTTTGGCCAGGTGAGCCCGCAGCCTACGTCCACTTTGTGCATGCCCATCTTTCTTCCTCCCAGACCAGGCTGACTCCCACTTTCCTCTGTGCCAGATAACCGGTGTAGTGGATGGGAATGTAGTACGGGTGCTGTGCCGTGTCCGAGCCATTGGTGCTGATCCCAGTAGCACCCTTGTCTCTCAGCAGCTCTGGTAGGATGTTGGGGTAATGGGGGACATTGGGAAGGGTGTCTCCAAAGGGTCTTTGGCTCACAGCAGTGTTCCCTTGTAGGAGCTTAGCCCAGCAGCTAGTAGACCCAGCCCGGCCAGGGGATTTTAACCAAGCAGCCATGGAGTTGGGGGCCACAGTGTGCACCCCGCAGCACCCACTCTGCAGCCAGTGCCCTGTGCAGAGCTTGTGCCGGGCACGCCAGAGGGTGAGCCATCTCAGGAGGGGTAATTAGGGTCCTAAGAGCGACCCCTACCCTGTGACATCCTTCCCTGTGCTTCCAGGTAGAGCGGGAACAACTCTTGGCCTCCCAGAGTCTACCAGGCAGTCCTGATATGGAGGAGTGTGGTGAGTGTGGCCAGTCCTAGTCCCGTCCCAGTTCTTTGCACTGTCAAGGAGCTGCCTGTGGAAGCCTCATTCTAGTTCATTCTACAACCTGAGTAAGATTCTGCAGAGCTAGGCCAAGGCCTGCTCTCTGCCCACCTGCCCTGAGTAGGGTTTGGGGATTTCTGTTCTCAGCTCCCAACACTGGACAGTGCCAGCTGTGTGCACCTCCCACAGAACCCTGGGACCTGACCCTGGGTGTAGCCAATTTTCCCAAAAAAGTCAGCCGCAGACCCCCTAGGGAGGAGTGCTCTGCCACCTGCGTTTTGGAACAGTTGGGGGCCCATGGGGGTGCCCGAATTCTGCTGGTACAGAGGCCTAATTCAGGTACCCGGATCTTGGGAGTGGAGGGTGGTGGCATGAGCAGTAAGGAAGAAATGGAGGAGTGAGCAGCTGAGGCCTCAGCCACACCTGGCTGCCCTCCTGCCCAGGTCTGCTGGCAGGACTGTGGGAGTTCCCCTCTGTGGCCGTGGAGCCCTCAGGGCAGTGCCAACGCAAGGCCCTGCTGCAGGAACTACAGAGCTGGGCTGGGCCCGTCCCAGCCACCCGTCTTCGGCACCTAGGGCAGGTGAGTGAGAGCAGTGGAGGGTCCAGGAATGATGGTTGTTGAGGCTACATCCGCAGGCCTGATTCAGCCCCTCGGCCCTCCCCCCAGGTCGTCCATACTTTCTCTCACATCAAGCTGACATACCAAGTGTTTGGCCTGGCCCTGGAAGGGCAGACCCCGGTGACCATCACACCACCTGGTGCTCGCTGGCTGACTCGGGAGGAGTTTCGCACCGCAGCTGTCTCCACCGCCATGAAAAAGGCACTACTTTCATTGTCCTCATTAGCCTTTTGTGTTTCCTACATGTTCTGTGTGAACCTCTTACTATAAAAGCAGAAAAACAAGATACTTCCAATAAAAATGCTAGGGAATGAAGTTGAGGACAGAACACAGGGGTCTGGCTCTTTGCAGGAAGATGTCAGCCCTATACTCTTACCCTTTCTCCTTGGCTAGGTGTTCCGAGTGTATGAGGGCCAACAGCCAGGGACCTGCAAGGTGAGTCTCTTGGTCCTTACCCAGCCATCTCTCCCCAGGCTAAATCTATGGGTTTTCAGTAACTTAAATGACTCACTTTTGGGTGAACACTGTCCACTCCAGGCTTCACTGAAGGAGACACATAGTCCTTGACCTGGAGACCTTACAGTGTGGCATCTAGGGTAGAGAGGGAACAAGAGTGAATAATGGAGATAGTAGCATCACAGGTGTGTGACATGTCCCATTAGGTTTTGTGGGATATGAGGTAGAGAGCTGTCAATTCTCTCTTGAAGACAGAATCAGGAAAGGCTACTTGAAAGAAGTGGCTGATAATCTGGGTTCAAGAAATGAATCCTTTTTTCCATATTTGGGAGGGGAATGTAAGGCTACAGGACTAAGGCTGTTCTTTCCAGGCCCATGAGGAGTGTTAGCAAAGGTGGCAAATGCAGTATGCATTGCTCAAGGAGCCGTAGTGCCTGATTTAGCTGGAATGACCAGCAGGGCCTGCCCAGGCCAGTTTGGGCCATGACCACCAGGCCACTGAAGCATTGTAGATGGAGAGAGGAGTCAGACTTGTATCTAAGAGGAAGATTACCTGAAGCTGCCTTTCAGAGAATTGATTGAAGAGGTAGATACTGGAGACAGGTTGGAAGCTTTATAATTTCAGGCTAGAACCTGAGCTAGATCAGTAGTCACACAAGGGTGGAAAGAGGATTCTCTGCTGCCCCCTCAGTGCCTCCTTCCTTCGGCTTCTGCACAGGGTTCCAAAAGATCCCAGGTGTCCATACCATCCAGGCGGAAAAAGCCCAGCCCAGGCCAGCAACTTCTGGATAATTTCTTTCGGCCCCTCATCTGCACTGATCCACCTAGCCTCAACAGTGTGGCCCAGTGATGCCTCTGGAAGCCCCCATCCCCTGAGAATCATGTTGTTTAATAAAGTACTTATTTTTGTAGTCATTTTGGAGACTTTCCATCCTCCAGCTCCCTCATTCCTCATCTCTGAGGGACTGAGAAAATGGTAAAGCCCTCTTTGGTCCTGGTTTCCACTGGCTAAGGTCCCAGCCAGCCCTGGGCAGCTGGAGGGGGCTGTTCTGTCCGAAGTGATCTGTTCTCTCTCACCCCCCAGAAGAAAGGGAGAAGGCAGCTGCAGGCAGCCCCTGCCAGTGGCTGACACCCAACACCCTAGGTCCAGGTCTCTGGTCAGCTCAGACAGGAGCAGTGGTATTGTCCTAGAGCAGGTGGGTGGGCTCAGCCCTGAGTCACTCCCTTCCCACCTGCAGTGGCTGCTCCCTAGGGAGAAGAGATTTATTCTGTCTTAAATTCCTACCTCAAATACTACATAATTAGTGATGTATCACATATGTAGTGAAACAATACGGAAAAGCAAGGGGTTAATAATCATAAAATTGAGGTGGGGTGGAAGGAAATGGGGTGAGAGAAGGACCCAAGGAGACTTCGAAAGTATTGGTATGCTCTATTTTCTAATCATGTAATTCTTTTATTATTCTTTGTATCTTACATATATATTAAGATACAGACTATGTAAGAAATGACTCATAGTTAAAATCAAAATCCCACCTCTTTGGACCCCAGTGAGAGATTCAACTTCTGGCAGGTACTGATGAGATGGAAGCCAGACCTGACCCTTAGGGACAAAGCCTTTCACTCCAGGCCTCTGTATGTGTTTCTCAGTTTCTGCAGGCCCTATGCTGGATTCCTCAGGGCTTCAGGACCCATGACTGCCCCCACCTTAAGCCGTCTTTAAGGCTTCCTGGTCCCTGGCAGCTTGCTCCTGCACTGACTGCCATAGGGCCCGGATATTGCCCTGGCCAAAACCTGTGGCCCCCTGTCTCTGAATTAGCTCCAGGAAGAAGGTGTCCTCTGCAAAGAGTGACTTGGTGAAGACCTGAAGCAGAAACTTGCCTTTATCACCATCTAGCAGGATCCCCTGTCGGGCCAGCAGGCTAGGCTTATGCCCAGCAGCTAGGATCTGCTTTTCCTTGCCTGGCTGCTGGTAGTAGGCCTTAGGAGGAGTCAGGAGCTGGCCCCCTGCCACTGCCACCCCCTCAGTGGCTTCCATGATGTTTGGGGTGTACAGCCCCACATGCTGCAGCCCCGGCCCCCTATTCCGGGCCAGGAACTGTTCCACCTGATCATGTCCACTGGCAGCCCCAGGCAGGGATTCGGCCAGCAGGAGGGTGGGAATAGTCCTGCCTGGAGGGGTCTGCAGGGCGGTGAGCCTTAGCCCCCCATGCCCAGATTCTGCTGCCACCTCAAAGCCCAGCTCTGGATCCTCACCTGGGCTCAGTGGCAGGTGACGAAAGCCTAGACAGTCGTGGAACCAGCGCATCAGTGTAGGAGAGCTGCCAGGGGTGCAGGCCAGGGTCAGGTGGTCCACGTGGGTGACCCAGCCAGGGCCTGTTGCGGAGGGCACTGGCCCAAAGCCGGGTAGGAAGGGCCCACAGAAGCTGGAGCGCTCCAGCAGCGTCAGGCTGAGGTTGCCTGCCGGCGAGCTGACCACGGCATAGATGGCAGTGCCCTGCACATCCCGCACACTAACAGGGGGCACTGGCACGCTGCAGCCCCGTGCGGCCAGCGCCCGGACAGAGGCGCCCGCATCGTCCACATCGAAGCACAGGTTGGTAGCGCTGGGCACAGCATGATGAGGGTCCACGCCGTACAACGGGTCTCGGGGTCCCGAACCCTCGTTCACCAAAAAGACCGCGTCGCCGCTGCGCAGGGCCAGCTGCCACCAGCCGTCTGCTTCCCGCACCGCCAGGGGCTGAAAACCGTAGAGACGCTGCAGGTCCTGGGCGAGGGGCTGCCCCACGGGCACGTGGAAGGCGATATGGCACAGACGGCGGGCGAGCGCCGCCATGGCGGTCTGGATGGGTGACCCCGGTCTGTCCTTCCCCTGGGGCCGCTCACTTGTCCTTCGGGACTCCAGGACTCTCCGCTCCAGGCTTGTCGTCGGAAGCCGGTCCAGTTTTGCCTACAGAGCGCCTTCCTCGATCTCTTTTCTGGGGAAAAGTCACAGTCCGACCTCTTGGGGAGTCGCGGTTCCCCTTACCGATCCACTCCAATCCCGAGCTGCAGCGGGACCACCGGGTCTGCGCTGCATGTAGTGAAGACCACGCGGAGTGAACAGGGCGGAGCAGGAGGGGCGGAGTCAGTGACTACACGGCTGGCCCCTCCCTCGGGCTCAGAACCTGTCGCCGAGAGGAGAGCGGGGACGCAGGGCCGCTCTTTCCCAGAACCTTTGGCTGGGTCTCACCCGTGGGCACTGAGCCTCCCCTCCCCGGCCTCCGGGGATCACAATAGCTGCCTTTACTCGGTGCCAGGGGCCGGGCCTTGACCCCCAACTTCAGAGCAAAGGGAATCAGCCGCAGCAGCGGAAGGAGCCTGAATTCTGCCTCCACAAACACGGAATTTCTTAGCAATGTCAGGTTTTAGCTTTAAAATTCTGGAGAATTTGCTTTTAAGTCCTAGTGTTCCTTTAAAACTTTAAAATATATTCAAAATGTTCTGTTACAGATTTTCATTCCCTCCCCAAAATGGTCCAGAGAAATTAGGGTTACAGGAAAATAGACTATATGGCTCCTCACGTTTCCTTTCTCTCTGGCAATCTCTCAGCTGCACCTGTCTCTTCAATCCCACTTCTCTCTCAACATCTTTCACGCCCTTGTTCCAAGCAAGATTTAGAGAGAAAAAAAACTGGTGACTCAAGACCAGAAAGAAACAGCTGTACTGGTGTCCTTTCTCCACCTGCCGACCCTACCGGGACAAGGCCTCAAACCCTCTCCTCTCTTTGCAGCTTCCTGACTGGTTATTGGGCCAGCGGAGATTTTGTGTGTGGGGGGAAGTTTCTGGCCTTAAGACCTAGAATTGTGTGAGATCAAGTGAGATCACTGGATTGAGGAAATTCAGAGTCTTTGGACTTATGCTGGTGGCTCTTGTTTGGGAAGGGCACTCCAAGCATAGCAAATGGCATAAGTGAAAGGTCCGTGAAAACTATGAGCCAGACCCTCAGAAGAGCAGTATGACATAAGGTTGGGGAGGCATTTGGGATGCGTGCCATGGTCAAACGCATTGCAAATGTGGTTCCTCTGTTGGGCAGCCTGATGTGATGACTTACTGTTGAGTGTCACTGGTAAGAGAGAGAAGCATGTGATGGGGGGAAAGGGCTTGGAAAAAGAGGTCTGGCTGGGTGTTCAGGCTTCCAGGCAAAGTACCCAGAAGCTGGTCAGTGGTGGTAAAAGGCACTTGGTGCTATTCTGCATACTATTACATTGAGAACATGGGTTCCAAAAGCCAGACAGACCTGGGTTTGAAATCTACCTCCAATATTTACTAGCTGTATGACTTTGGGCAAGTTGATTAACTTCTCTAACCCTTAGTTTCCTCATCTATAAAAATGGGAATAATAATAAAAGTACCTACTTCATAAGGTTGTTGTGATTAAATGAGAAAGTATGTGTTGCAGCCTGGCAAGGGGTCCAGATATTAGCCTGTGAACCTGGGCCTAGCTGTGTGGGGTCAAGGCATACAAAGGAGGGGAGGGGCTGCAGTGGGACCTGGAATAAAAGGCACCATAGGGCTACTCCTCCCTAGAACAGAGCACTAGGAAGGCAGTAGGAAGGTCCTGGCTTTCTGGTGGATTCCCCAGGAAGGGGCCCTGGGAATAGGGGTCTGTGAGGGCTCAGGTAGAATAGACTATCTTCTGCCCCAGCTTTCATGATCGAGATCATGGCCTCAAGATAGAATAGGCTGTTATGGTCAGGGCCCCTGGTGAGCAGCTCTAGTACTTCCAGGCCTTTGGTCCCACTGAAGGGGGTTCTGTTCACACCGGAAGCACCGCCTTCCTGGCTCGGCCCCCTTCCCCGCCTGCAAATGGCTCCGTCCCTTTCCCTCCCGTGGGAGTTCTGGACAGTTTACATGGGGAGGCCCGGAAGACCTCACAGAGAAGGTGACTTTTTGTGTGTGTGTGTGGGGGGGGGGGAATGCACGTATTTCTTACCATGTGTTAAATAACAAAATCCAGTGGAGTAAATGTGAAGATCTAATTGACTTAACGAAGCAATTCACGAATCTGATAGCACACTATCCGGCAATTAGAGAAATGCGGCGAAGTTACACAAAAGGGAAGGTTTTTATGGACAGGAGGGTGGGGCTAAAAGTTAGCAGCAAAAGAAAAGAAGGGATTGTTTCAGACAAGGTCCGCCTCCCTTAGGAGGAGGAGCGGGGCGGTCTTACCAGGCCGATCACCTCATCTTCTTTTTGGGAGGTGGAGAGCGCTCCAGAACACTCCTGTTGAAACTAATTAGGCTGGGCGTTTAGCCCGGGTTTGGCCTGCCCAGCCCTTGCTCTTGGGCCTATGGCTTTACTTTTTAACACGTTAATGATTTTTAAGCAGACAGTTCAGTGTACAGTTAAGAATACTTATTCTTTTGTGCAACCATCATCATCAGCCATCTACAGAACTCTTCATTTCCCCAGTGGAAACTGTACCCATTAAACTACCCACTCTACCCTCCTCCCTCTGGCAACCATTATTCCACTTTCCGTTTCTATGATTTTGGCTACTTAAGGTACTCATATAAATAAAATCATGCAATATTTGTCTTTCTGTGGACAAAATGAGAGTTCCTGTGGCCAGGATTCTCACCTGGCCCTGGTTGACTAGCTCACTGCACACCTGTGGGCAGTACATGGCTGTTGACTCTATATAAAGAGCTCTGCCCAGTGCTCTGGGCACGATACAGTGGCAGGGTTGCAAGGCTGCAGGAGAGCAGAGCAGAGGCTGGAGTGGTGGCAGCGCTGAGGACAGAGGCCCAGAGAATGGCTATGCAGGACGACTGTGCAGAGAGGCCCTGAGGACGGCTGTGCGGACAGAGGGGCCCAGAGGCAGAGACCGGCTTGCTGCCTGCAGACTTGCTCTGAGTGAACGGGATTTTAGCGACTGACCTGCCACCTTGAAATAAAGTTGGGTATCACCCTTTCACCCCAAGAATGTTTTGCTGTCAATTTCTTGGTCACACTGAATCCATAGCAAACTTGCTCGGGGCTGAAACCCATTGGCAAGACACTTTCCCACCTGACACTTTCCCACCTTAAAAGGATCTAAAGTCACCAATGCACAGTTTTCAGATCTCCTCTCACCACCTCTCAGAAAGTTTTTTGACCACTCCTTTCTGAAACACTCTTCCCCTGGCTTTCATAACAGTCATTCTTACCTGATCTTCCTGTGGTCACATCATCTGTCCTCTGCCCACTTTTTTTTTTCCTGTAATGATTTTTAATTAACAGTTTACATTTGAAATTCAAACCAATATAAAAATATTTGAAAAGCCTTGCTTTCATCTAGTTAGTCCACATCTACCCATGTCCTACCTACCTACCTCATCTCTAGCCTACAGGAAACCACCTTTATTAGTTTCTTTTTTTGAAGTTATATACATACATACATACATATATATGTAAGCTATTGTTCATATACAATCCTGTTGCTTTCAAATGTACATCAGAGTGGTTCAACAGTCCCTGTGATCAATTTATATTGTGATTGTGAATTATTGTGCCCTTTTATGCCCACCCAACCCTCTGCATCTGCCCCAACCCCTTGATAACCACTTGTCACTTCCCAAAGTCTATGAGTCTACTGTTGTTTTGTTCCTTCTGTTTTGCTTTGTTTCTATATTCCACAAATAAGTGAAATCATATGATGTCTATCTTTCTCTGCCTGGCTTATTTCACCGAGCATAATACCCTCTAGATAGATCTATGTTGTTGCAAGTGGCAGGATTTCTTTTTTTTTTATGGCTGAATAATATTCCATCGTGCATATGTACCACATTTTTATCCATTCATCTGTTGATGGACACTTAGGTTGCTTCCGTATCTTGGCTATTGCAAACAGTGTGGCGATAAACATAGGGATGCATACATCTTTCCAAATTGGGGATTTTGTTTTCTTTGGGTAAATTCCTAGGAGGGGATGTGGGTAAAATTGCAATATTTCCAGAATCTCTTGCCTGGCCTTAGTTCATTTCCATATCAATAGGTGTTTATAAGGGGTGGAGAGAAGTGCCATCTCCAAATCAATAGCTGTTTATAGGGGCAGGTAGAAAGGCCAGTCCCCCCTGGGACAGGAGAGGTTTTTGGCCTCACTAGCCAGAATGAGAAACAGGTGAGTGAGAGAGGCCAACTGGAGCCAGACCTCCAGATAAAGGCTTTTTCCCTTAACTGATTTTGGCTTCACAGGTTTATTTGCTCCGGGCTGGGAACACCTTCCCCTGTTTCCCTCCCCCCCCCACCTCCCCCCGCCTTGGATTTACAGTGGAATTACTGGGTCAAATGTTATTTCTATTTTTAGTTTTTTAAGGAACCTCCATACTGCTTTCCACAGTGGCTGACCAACTTCTCATCCCACCAACAGTGTAGGAGGGTTTCTATTTCATCCTTGCCAGCATTTGATGTTTGTCTTTTGGATAGTGGCCATTCTACCTGGTGTGAGGTGATATCTCATTGTGGTTTTAATTTGCATTTCCCTGATGATTAGTGATATGGAGCATCTTTTCATGTGCCTGTTGGCCATCTGTATTTCTTCTTTGGAGAAATGTCTGTTCAGGTGCTCTGCCCATTTTTTAATTGGATTTTTTTTTGGGGGGGGTTGAGTCATATGAGTTCTTCATATATTTTGGATGTTAACCCTCTATCAGATGAGTCATTTACAGATATATTCTCCCATACTGTAGGTTGCCTTTTTGTTCTGCTGATAGTGTCCTTTGCTGTACAGAAGCTTCTTAGTTTGATGTAGTCCCACTTACTCATTTTTTACTTTATTTCCCTTGCCCAAGGAGATGTGTTCAGGAAAACGTTTCTCATGTTTATGTCCAAGAGATTTTAGCCTATGTTTTCTTCTAAAAGTTCTATGGTTTCAAGACTTACATTCAGGTCTTTGATCTATTTCAAGTTTACTTTTGTGTATGGAGTTAGACAATAATCCAGTTTCATTCTCTTACATGTAGTTGTCCAGTTTTCTCAGCACCAGTTATTGAAGAGGCTGTGTTTTCTCCATTGTATTTTCATGGCTCCTTTATCGTTTATTAATTGACCATATATGTGTGTGTACATATCTGGGCTCTCTATTCTGTTGCACTGATCTATGGATATGT